TTCAACAGGTCTGCCGCAGACTGCAAACTCAGCATAACAGTCCAGGCCATCCACAACACAAATTGTGCCTTTTGGGATTGTATCAGGCACTTAGCAGTTCACATACATACAGACAATACCATTGCAATATATTGTGTGAACAAACAGGGGCTGGTGCAGATTACTCTGCCTAGAGGTGATCAACTGTGGCAGTTCTTCATCGAAGAAAACATCATTCTAGTAACACTTGCCAGTGGTACAAAAGCATATTGCAGAACATGTCAGCAGGGTTTTCCTAAGCCACGAGTGATCCCTGAAGGCAAGTATCCTCTGGGTTGTCTTCACAATGGGGGCATCCCCATGATCAAACTGTTTTATAATGAAAAAAAACAGAAAGTGTTGCCTACTTTGCTTTTGGGGGAGCATTGGAGAGGGAGCCTGGACCAAAGCTTTCAACTGTGTCTTTCTCTCTATTCTGATCCTTCCTCAAGTCATCCTCAAGCTGAAATCGGATCAGGCCAAGCTCATCCTAATTGCTCCAGAGCATCCAAGAAGTGCTAATTCCCAAACCTCCTTGCTTTGTCAGTTCAGTCTCCCATACTGCTTCTCTATCCTGACTTGCTCACTTGGCGCTACAATTACACCCTCCCTTGCACTTTAGACTGTAGCTGTTACATGGCTGAAAGAAAAGGAAGAGTGGTGCTCAGTGACTGGTCAGTAATTCCTACTCAATAGCAGGAAGTCCTCCACAAGGATATTCTACTTAGTGAAGTAGATGTTCTTGGTGTGTGGGACCCACATGACTGGAGTTTTCATACAGGACACCTTGGAGTCTCTACCGTATCTTCATAAATTGAGCCTTTTCTGTCAGCTTTACTTAACCGTCCAGTCAAGCCCCTTGTATTTTGCCCACTGCCCCTCTTGGGCTAGAAAACCGCAATCCTGATAACCATCACATTGACAAGATGGGTGTATGAGTTGCAGGCTTTATTGGCTGAACTGCTTTACATTCAATTCTCCAAGCACAATGTCATGCTGTGATTATCCTTGAAGTTTTTATTCAGGGTGGTCTCTGTTTCAGTTGGATCAGAAGGTGTATTTACGTGTGTTTTTCTTTAAGCTGCATTCCTCTCCAAAGAAACAGCACCTCCATTCTCTGGATGTCAGGCAATATCTAGCCTTTTACAGGACTAGGCTGTTTTGTGCTTCACCTCTCCTGTTCATATCATATGTAGACCACCTGACGGGACCTCGTGGTCTCAGATCATCTCCAGACAGATACACAGTCTTAATGCAGATTGTTATGAGAGAGTTTAGGCTATGTCTCCTCACGAGGGTTGAGGTCTCAATAGTGTTCCTTTGTGATATTTCCAATCTACATTTGCAGGGCAACTACGTGGTCATACATACATAAATTTATGAACCATTATGCTATTTTAGTGCATCTTCTAGACCTGACCCAGGTCGTGGAAGGGCAATACTGCAAGCCCTATTTCAGTAGAATCCAAGCTCTTCCTCCCTAGATTGGGGTACTATTCGAGAGTCACCTAAGTATCTACTCGAAGAAGAAGAAAACTGTTAGTTACTGTAAAGATAATTCTTCAAGATGCGGTGCAGCCATGTATTCCACAACCCTTCTTCCGTCCCCTCTGCTTGTAGGATTTCTATGCGAAGAAACTGAGGTATGTTGGGGAGGCACTGCTTTCATATAGCCAGGGTAGGAACCATAAATAAAAGGTACGAGTGCCACCCCTCTGGGTACTGCAAGGCGAAAGGGTAGATGCAGACATGTATTTTAAACAACAGTTATAGTAAGTAGCCATTTCTTTTAATTTGTGCCAAAGGAAAATACTCTGTTTCCTCTTTGTCTTGCACAAAAGAAAGACTTGGGAGAGTTTGTTTATAGTGTGACCATGATGCATTGAATTGCAGTTAAATGAAACGTTTGGCTAAACAGAGTTCATTTATGCCCCTGAAGATTGTGCTTTGCTGACTTGTGCTTCCAAACTGCCCTCTGGGAAAAGACATGAACCCAGACAGTGGCTGTCACCACATCATTCTGTTTTTTGGTTGGATTTAGAGAGCTTTGACAGAATTCTCACTTTTGCTTTCTGGGCCTTGCCACAAAACTACCTCACTTGTGGCAAGGTGGCTTGCTGTCTTTTCTGAATGTCAAACTTAGACTGCAAACTGACATATCCTGGCTGGTCTCTGGAAATCTCAGTCAGCATGGAGGCTTCAAAATCTGTATTTCAGGGATAGGGAATCCAAGGGACAGACTTCAAAAGCCTTTTGAGTAAGGTTTCCTAATTTTCCAAAAGATTCAGGTGATCTCAGAGACGTTTTGATATTCAGTCTTGTTCATATTGTATATGCTATTAATTTTGCTCTCCCTTATCAGTTACTCTTGTTCATTTCATTTTTTTTTATGGATAAACAGTCAGCTTTGACCAACTGATGCCTTGGTTTGCATTAAAAAATCATTTAGTTTGCTCTGCCAATCCCTCAGAATCCACTCTGACATCTTCTCGTATCATTGCCCCAGAGAAAGTAGTTATTACCTCAATTTTTTTGTTGCAAAGCAGTTTCAGAATTAATCTCCATTTGAAAACTTCACTCTCTTCTAGTCATCAGACTGCCTTGACCTAAGTTGGCATATTTATTTTTCCAGAACTGACAATCAGAATTGGCATCAATGAATGTTAACATCCCTTCAATTTTTGGACACACTGAAGCACCAAGTAATTCATAAGTTGATTGACCATGACATAGCTGAGATGCTACACTACAAGTCAGGATGGTATATAATACTTAGTCCAGCCACGAATATAGGGGATTGGACTAGATCGGGGTGGGCAATAATTTTTGAGTTGGGGGGGCCACTTAAAAATTTTTTAAGTGGTAATGGGCCTCAGATGGAAGGGGCTGGGCCTTTAAATAGCAGGAGTTGAAAGGGCTTACACCTCCCCTTCAGCTCCCAGGCATCGTGTTAGTTGGAAATGGAAGCTGCAAGCCCTTTCATTTCCTGCTATTTAAAGGGCTTGCTGCTCCCACCCTGCATTGCCTGGGGAGCTGAGGACACATGAGCCCTTTCAACTGCTTCTATTTGAAGGGCTCACATCTTCCCCGTGGCTGCCAGGCAACGCGTTGCCTGACAGGCTCAGGGAAGGCACGAACCCTTAGAATAGAAGCAGTTGAAAGGGCTCGCGCAGCTCCGGCTCCCAGGCAGTGTCCTAGGGGACAGGGCCTGGAACAGCTGCACAGGCCAGATCAGACTCACTGAGTGGCTTTCGCTCACTTCTGGACTAGATGAACTCTTGAGCTCCCTTCCAGTCCTCCAATTCTGTGATTCTAAGTAGAGGCCAAAGCCAACATGCTGAAAATTGAGTTGGCCCAAGTATCTTAACCAGTTAATGTCTTTGGGCATTTTGAACCACTTGCAAGTGTTTAAACCTAAACTGCTTCAAACTTGTAAAGCTTATGCTGCTTTGAGTATGTAAAGATTGCCCTTTATTCCCTTGCCAGAGTAAAGACCTATCCAGTGTAATGGTGATGATTTCCCTTGGCAAGGGAGTGAAGAAGAGCCAGCTCCAATATAATTTTTTCACAGGGTGATTGAAGAAATTAAGCCAAGATTCAGTTATTTTCTCTGTTATTTGCAGTAGTTGTAATATGTTGTATCTGTAGATATATTTATTTTTTTCAGCACCTATCCATAGGTGTAGGCAGTTAAACTTTCTTAAAACAATTTTGTAACTATATAAAATCTACAAAATACTTGCTAACTGAACTTGACCATGCAATAATAGCCATCTGAGTCATAATACTGTATGTATCATATTCTTCAGGTCTCTCTTTGACCTGTTCCCCCTATGTCAGTGGAAAAAAAGGGCTTTGTGGCATGCCCAGATGGTAACAATTTCCAGCTCTGGTAAATTTAGTTGGGGGAGTGAATTCTATAACCAGAGACCTAATGGAGAACATCCCTTGATCGGCCTCTTCACTTTTAAATCCAGCAAGCTGTAACTTGAACACATCTGCTTATTCTTCTTTGTCACACCTACTACCTGAACTGCTATTACTACCACTACTTTGAATCTAATAAGACTCCGAAAAGGCAAACTTGTGTTGCAAATGGTGGACATGCTCCCTCTGTCAGGGATCCTATATGACTCTCACTATTGCATTTTGGTGCTTCCCTCTGCTGACCAACCTCATTTGTTTCTTGTCTGCTTTGAGTGTATCAGCTAGCCTGAAACTAGCCCTCGTTTCAGAGCTATCAGGTCATCCATCCATTCCCCCACACCAGCCTGAACAGAGAAGAAACCAAAGTGAACTGTGTCATACTAAATATATCACAGCCCTGTTTTCTTACCAGCCTTCCAGTGACCTGATTGTCAGTCTTCCTGTTCAAGGTTGTTAGGGGATCACTTAGTGAGAGTCCTTGGGGCAAATGAACAGTTGCCCAAGATTACTGTGTGGGATCTGTACAAAAGGTGCAAAGCCAGTGACTCATCCATTCTTCCTGCAATTTGCAGATGTTGGCAGAATCTAGTGATCACTGGTTACAAAAGCTTCTTGTGGATTTATAAGAATCAGCAACAGTATCCATACTTAGAATTTAATCACACAGTGCAACTCTCAATCACACCAGGCCTGAAATGTGCAGACTTCAGAAAGTACCATAGGTTGTCCTGCCATAAATTTTTCAGTAGCTTTTCTCAGAATATTCATAAACTGTTATATTGCAAGATTGTCATATCAGGGGATGGTTCTTGTGCAGCTTTACCACACTTTCTTTAGGGATACCTGCCACCTGATAGTTGCAGATTGCTTAACTCTTCACAAAGTTCTGTGGTAATAAAAAAACTGTGGTTATTTTATGTTTCATATTTTAATAGAGAACCCCAAAAAAGTTCACGGTGACCTTGTATGCCCCGAAAGTACATAATGTGTTTGTTTTAAAATTAGTTATGACATCTTATCAGTGGAAGAAGTGTTGTTAATCAAAACTCTAGGGAATCATTAAAAATCCTTTTTGGTAATCTCCCCAAACCTAAAAAATGGACACTGCTTTTTTATGCAGAATAGCCTCTCACTTGCTACTTACTTTTTTTTAAATAGGAGTACAAAAGCTATCTGTTGCTGAACTAAATGATCTACTAGAAGAAATTGAGACTGCCATTAAAGATTATTCTGAGGAGTTGGTACAGCAGTTGGCTCTACGGGATGAGCTGGAGTTTGAGAAGGAAGTGAAAAACAGCTTCATTTCTGTCCTCATTGAAGTACAAAACAAACAGAGAGAACACAAAGAAACAATGAAGAAGAAGAAAAAGCTGAAAAACGGTAGTCCTCAGAATGGCAAACAAGAAAGAGGTCATATGCCTGGAACAGTAAGAGTCATTGTAATTGCTTTTATAGATATGCAGAATTCAAGTTTTTTAAGTGTTAATTCATAGTGTACGTTTATCTAGTAAGTAAAAAATAATAAATACCTTTCACATATTAAATCATATTGATTTTCTCCTAGGGATGTAAAAGACTAGTCGACTATCCTATAAGCAAAAGCATATTAGATAGTCGATATACTAGTTGGATAGTCACTCCCCCGTCTCCCCACTTGCTGCCTCCATCAGAAAGAGGCATCAAGGGGGGGAAGAAGAGGGGAGGCTTCCGAGCAGCAGTGCTGTGTGGAGCTGGGGTCAGCTAGGGACTACCTTCTGACTCCGGGCTCTACGTGGCACTGCCGCTTTGAAACGCTGGGAGCCAGGGCTCATGTGACATTTCAAAGTGGCAGTGCTGCATGGAGCCCAGAGTCAGCTAAGGCTGTTGCTACACTTCAAAGGCGAGGCTTCCTTATAGAGTAATCAAATAGTCCATACAAATTGTATCGACTATACGCTTAGCCTATTAATCTAAATTGAACATCCCTATTTTCTCCTTACCTTCAAGCACAGGCAATGCCCAGTTCTTCCTCTTGAAATGTATGTTCCTTTTCATGATTCCTACCAGACTTTTACTTTTTCCCAGCTTCTGAGCATCATCTTTATAACTTCACTATGGCTCAAAATCGGTTGTGCGTTTCTCATCAGAGTCGTGGTCATTGCCATGCTTCATGGTTTTGTCTGGGTAGGCATAAAATATGTCACTGTTAGATGTGTATAGCACTGTCATTGATAATGCTGTACAAATCTTAATCTGATAGGGTGTGTCTAAATTACACCCCTCTGTCCGCAGAGGGATGTAAATTAGACACATCAAAAGTGCAAATGAAGCAGGGATTTAAATATCCCGCTCTTCATTTGCATAATGGCGGCTGCTGCTTTTTTTCAAAACAGGGCTTTTCGAAAAAAACTGGCAATATAGATGGGGCATTTTCGACAGAAATGCCCCATTTCGAAAGATCCTGTACTCCTCATTTATACCCATAAATCTAACATGTAAAATGTATGTATAGTGAAATATACACCCCCCCCCCATGCTGGTTCCAGTAAACTCAATGCAAAGTTCCTGTTAACTGACCTGAAATTAGAATTGGGCGCAAAGACAGATACATTATACATTTTCCGAAAGGGGCATGCTAATTTTACAGGTCGTAATAGGGAAATCCGCGGGGGATTTAAATATCCCCCGCGGCATTTAAATAAAAATGTCCGCCGCTTTTTTCCGGCTTTTAGAAAAGCCGGAAAAGACCGGAAAAAAGCCCTTTTCCGGAGG